ACCCCCTGGGGCTTGGGACCCTCGGGAGGGAGAGGGGCTCCGTCGGCGTCGGGGGAGGCGACACCGGCTGGCCTGGGCACGTTAGGCGGAAGGACAGTCTCCGCGATCGGCAGTTTGCTGGCCGGTCGAGGGGCGGGCTCAGGCCCGGGAAGCCGTCCAGCCGTTTCAGCCTGTGAGCGCCGACCCCCCAACACCAGCTCGCTCTCCGCTTACACAGGGAGGAGCAGCGAGTCACTGGCCTTGAGATGGGGATTATTCTTGGCCGGAGGGGCTCCCGGCTCTCAGCTGTCCCGACCGAGGCTGTGCTGAGGACAGTGCGGGTCTGCCTCTCCCTTCCTGAGGATGCTCTGGGATCGTCAACTCTTCTCCATCTGGCTGCCAGGCCATCCGTGGGGGCGAGAGGCCGGTGAGCCGCAGCAGCAGACTCCCACCCGGGCTTCAGGGGGCGCCTGTTCACGCTGAAGTCTAGGGAGAGGCCTTTGCCCTCTCGGCTGCTGGACTGGGGCTGGGCGGGCCCCCAGGACATTTCACAACATGCACAGACAGCCGAGTGCCCAGGAAATCAGTCACAACTGCGGGGAGCAAGGCCGCAGAGAACTCTGAGTGTATGGAAAGAGCCTTTTCCACTACAACATGGACGCCCTCTGGCCCTCAGAGCCTTCATTCCACAGATTTTTAAAACGTTCCAAGGCCCGGTGGGAGTCACCCAGCAACCGGGCACAGTTCTCCTCTGGAAGAGGCTGGCAATTAGGCCGGAATGCCGGGACCTGGGGATGCGCGCCCAGAGCAATCGAGGTCTGCATGTGAATTAGGCGCTCACGTCCTATTTCTGGGGACAAGCCCGTCCTTGGGCAGCCGGCCCCACCCCCGGCGCAGGCTCAGCACCCACCGCCTGCGCCAACGGCCACCTGGGTCCTGGGCTCACCCTCCCCCTACCGACTGACCGCAGCAGCCGCGCTGGGCCACCTGGGGAGCCTCTGGACACGGGGCGCTGAGAACAGATGCGGAGGCCATCGGGCTGGCCCATCCCCGGCCCCCGAGGCCCAGGTGGAAAGAAGCTGGGGACGGGCATCTGTATTCAAACACCCCAGCCCCGGCACCCAGGGACACACTGCGACCCCCAGGCCCGTGACGTCATCCTTGTCCTCACCACGACGGCAGCTCCTTGAGCACCAGCGCTCGCGGCTCCCAGCGGGTGAGCCGGCCTGAGTGACCTGCAGGTCAGTGTGGTCCAGGAGAGTGACCGCGGCTGCGGTCAGCCCTGCTCCGTGCAACAGCTGGGGGGCAGCGGCTGGGGGCAAGCCTGCGCGGGGAGGTGTTGAGAGCCGGTGTGGCCCTGCTCCGGGTCAGGCGGGTCCCAGCTTGGGGCGGCCCCCGTCCGGTCCTCGCTGCCGGGGCCTGCTGCCGAGGGGCCTCCGCGCTTGCGTCTCGGCCGAGGCTGGGGTCAGGGCTTCAGCCCCGTGGCCAGAGAACACGGTCGTCCTCGCGACGCCGGGCAGGGAACGCGGCCCGTGGGGTCCGCACGGGTGACCCTTCCACCTGGATGCTCAGGGAGGCCGGGCAGCGGCGGGCAGGAGCGGGCCCTTGGCGGCGCAGGCCACGGCCCGGTGCGGGGGGCTGCTGTGACGTGCACGCAGCAGTCACCTCGGGGACAGGGGCGCCCTCAGCTCCGGTGCAGGGCCAGGCCCCAGCGGGGCACCCAGGCTCAGCCTTGCCCTCACGAGGACACGACCCGCGGGAGACCGTGACGGTCGCGGGGTGCAGAGCCCGCTGCTCTCCCTAAGGGGATCGGGAGGAGCTAGTCCCGTGCAGGCCCTGGCTCCCCGCTGGCCCTGAGAGGCGCTCCCGGCCGGGGCCACCTCCACTGATGGAGGAGGATTCCGAGGTTCGGGGGACATGGAAGTTGTCCAGGGCCACACAGTGGGGGGTCTCAGAGATGTTCTGGGGCCGTGGGGGTCAGGGAGGCGTTCCCTGCCCACTCCAGAGACCTGGGGGGGGTCCCGGGAGGGGGTGGCAGGAGGAGAGGGACGAGCTTCTGGGTGAGATGAAGGCAAGTCTTGGATGTGGCGGCAAAGTGCCTGGTGGGGGTGGTGACGGGGCAGACGGGGTGTCAGGTGCACCGCGCCGGGAGGTGATGGGAGCCCCCACGGAGGATGAGGCAAGGATGAGAGAGGCGAGGTCAGTGGGGTCCAGCCCGGGACCACAGATAGCGCCCCTGCCAGCGCCTGCCCCGCACAGACGCGGCCACCCGAGGGCTGACACTCGAGTCGGGGGAGTGGTGTGGGCTGAGGCGGTCTCTGTGGCCCCCCAAGTGAGGGGGTGCAGCCTCCTGACCATTTAGATCACCTCGACGCAGCTGCCTCTCCGGATTTTATGGCCAAAATAGCATCGCTAGGTCACAAGCATTTGGGGAAACGCCAGGGCCCTCCCCCAGGACACACCCTCCGCTGGGTCTCCAGCGCGGGTACCTGCCAACAAGTGGGGCGCGGGGGCGCAAGGCCCTGACCCATCCGATCCTGTCCCAGGCTTGCAGGCCAAGCCCGGTCCAGTCCCCTGGACGAGGCCTCTCCGGCACTGCACGCAGCTGGCACCCCGCCTTCTCGTCCTTGACAAAGCAGTGACTAACCCAAGAGCGAGGTGGCTTCAGAAGCCGCTTGCCCGGCCTGGCCCCTAGTACAGTCCCCCCGCTGGGTGCCCGTCTCATCGCTCCCCCTGCTCTGAGCCCCCTTCCCAGGCTGTACCCGGTGGGGGCGCCCCTGTGCGGGGGACGCAGACTGGCCCCCCGCCTCTCCACGCTTGCCCCTTAGAGCTGGCAGGGGCAGGGCCCAGCACCCCATCTTGGCCCCTGAGTTCTGCACCGTTTGATGCCTTAACCCGAAATTCCCCTTTGGTGCCCCCTTGACCCCAGTGCAGGAGGGAGTCCAGAACAGTGAGGGGAGCCGCAGTCTAGGGGGACCCCCAGAGGGAGGCAGTTGCTTGCTCATCTGCGTCCTCCCCCGAGACACGGGCAGGACCCCCCACAGGGGGGTCTGGGAGGCTTTTCCCCGGGGACATCGGCTACTAGGTCCACAGGGTCCCCCAGCCCAGCCCCGGAGGCCTTTCCCCTCTGCCCTGCTCACCCGACACGCGTGTGCCGTGCGCGAGCCTCCCGCCTGTCCGTGGCCCGCTGAAATGAGGGCTGACTGCTGTGAGCTGGTCTCTCTGAGGGCCCTGGGCCCGCACTCTGGGGAGACGACCGGTCAGGCTGAGACAGAGCAGGCACCAGAGGGCTCCCGGCGCTGGGGCTGGGCTGCGGCGGGGGCTGGGCTGCGGGGGGGGCTCTGCCCTGCAGACCACCCGGCACACGCTCACAGCCGCGCTCGTGATTCCTAATTCAGCGCCAGCCAGGCGGTGGCAGGCGGGCCTCCCACGTGGTCAAGCTCGCGGCCACAGAACCGCGCCCTGCGAGCACCCGGCCACACGGCGCTGGGGAGGGCCCGGGGGGCTGGGCCGGATGACACAGGCTTGGACAACAGATAAGGGCCAGCACGGCCGCCTGCACCCCGTCAGCGGCCAGCCCGAAGGGCATCGGGACGTCCACCGCAAAGCCAGATTCACAGTAACGCTGGCGCCCACTCTGGGAGGGGCATGACTCACGACTGTCACCACCACCACGGGGTGGCTCCTGTCTCCGAGGCCTCCAGTGGCCCCCTCAGTGCCCCGCCGTAGGGCATCTCAAGTGCCCAGACTGGCACATGACACAGGGCCCCTCCTGGTGCTGCAGGCTCGAGCGGAGCCGCTCCCCGGGAGGGGCGGGGACATGAAGGGACACCTGCTGGACAGCCGAGGGGCCTGCACCGCCGGGATGAGCCTGGAGGCCGCAGGTGGAGGCCCGATGGCGTGGCCGCAGCCTCGCCCGCCGCCAGCACTGCAGGGGGCAGCGGGCTGGCGCAGCCCCTCTCCAGAGAAAACCCCAGACACTCAGCAGATGCGAGCGGCGGCTTGGAATTCGCTTAGCAGGAAACAAGAAGAGCTTTTTCCTGCTGGTTTCCACGCTCGCGTCCAAAAGCAACAGGCTGAGAGGCGCTCGCCGGCCGGGCCCTCCCCCACCGCTCCCACGGGGACGCCGGGGAGGACGGGGAGGAGCCGGCCGGGGAGGACGGGGGCGGCGGCCGGGGAGGACGGGGGCGGGGAGGACGGGGGCCGGGGAGGACGCCGGGGAGGACGGGGGCCGGGGAGGACGGGGGCCGGGGAGGACGGGGGCCGGGGAGGACGGGGGGCCGGGAGGAGGCGGGCGGCCGGGGAGGACGGGGGCCGGGGAGGACGGACGGGGGCCGGGGAGGCCGGGGAGGACGGGGGCCGGGGAGGACGGGGGCCGGGGAGGACGGGAGGACGGGCGGCCGGGGAGTACGGCCGAGGCTGCCTGCACCGGCAGGTCACTGGCTGTCCGCGCCCCAGCAGTTACCCTGTGAGGGGCACTGGTCCCGCGGGGCGTCCTCACGGGGTGGCAAGGCCGGGGCAAAGCTGCCTTCTCTGCGCCGGTCAGCGGGCAAAGGCCGCCCGGGGCACAGGCCTGGGGAGGGCGTGGGGGGAGAGCCGGCTCCCGCTGAGACGCAGGAGGACGGGGACCCAGGAGCCAGGCGGGCCGGGGGTGCTCTGGGTGGGCTGGGCCCGGGCGCCCCCCAGCCTGGTGGCTGACGCCCGGCCCGGGGCGCTGCGCAGGGGCCAGCGGGGGGCCAGGGGCGCGCGCCGAAGGCAGCTGGACACGGGCCGCCGCCCGCCCGCCCTGAGCCGCGCCGGGGCCGCGGGACGACAGCGGGGGACAGCGGGGGGCAGCGGGGGCTGCGCCTGCTCGCGGGCGGGGAGGGCGCGGGGCGCGGGGCGGGAGAGGAAGCGGGGGGCGGGGCGCCGGCGCGGGCGGGGCGCGGGGCGGGGCGCGGGCGGGCGCCCGGCTGGCTGCGCCCCGGTTGGCCGCCGGCGCCCCGTCCTCCGCGCGCTGCCCGCCCCCCGCGGCTGGCGTCGCCAAAGTCGGCAAAGTCCGCGCGGCCGCAGGATGGGGACCGGCTCCTCCAGCTACCGGCCCAAGGCCATCTACCTGGACGTGGACGGCCGCATCCAGAAGGTAGCGCCCCCCCCGCGCCCCGCGCCCCCCCCGCCCCGCCCCGCGCCCCCCCGCAGGTGCCGCCCGCCGCAGAGGCCGGGGCGCTGCGTTTCCGGGACGCGCGACCCCCGCGGAGCCTGCGCGCCGCCCGGCCTGGGGGTGCCCGGGGTCCGCGGCGCGGGGGCGGGGGCGGGGCTGCCTCCGGCGCGGCGCCCCAAGGCCGGCTCTGACGTGGGGCCGGAGAGGCGGCGCCCCTGGACCGTCCACCTGCCCCTGCCGGCCTCTGCCGCGGGAAGGCCGCTGGTCCCCTGCACCCCGCTAGCCTCCGGGCGAGGCCTAGCAGACCCCTTGGGGGGGCGCCCCCTGGTGCGGGGTGCCCGGCCCCGCGGCTCTGATGGGCAGAGAGGGACAATGAGACCCTGGCTGGGGGGAGGGAGTCCCTCCCTGTGGGTCCCCGCGAGGCCCGGGGAAGAGCCCCAGTGAACAAACAGCTCTCCAGCCCCGTCTGGTCATCCAGGGAGCCCCCCCGGCGCCCCATGTCTCTCCTTGCTCCTCTCAAGGCGCTGGGGAGGCTGGTGAGACCCCAGCCAGGCCAGAGACGCTGCTGCGGTTCTGGGGTTCTGGTCGCTGGGTGCCGGGGGAAGCCGTGGGTGGGGGGCGCCCCAGCCCAGCCGGTCCCAGGAGGCGAGCCCCGAGCCCCGAAGCAGGTGCGGGCGGGGAGCACCCTCCAGGCAGGGCGGGTGGCCAGCGCCCCGCGTCACCCCGCGGGACCCACCGGTGCCTGACTCCCGGGACCGGCCCAGTGCCGCACAGGGGCTCGCCGCCTCCCCAGAGGAAGAAGCCCACGGCACCGTCCCACTGCAGCAGGCACGCACACGCACACACGTGTGTGCTCGCACACGCATGCACACGCACGCCAGGCAGACAGGCACGCGGGGCCCGGCTGCCCATCCAGACGAGAACCATCCGCCCCGTCTTTCCAGAGAGGTGAGGCGCGGGGCCGGCGGGGTCCCGGCTCCTTCCCGGGAGCTGCCCGTCTCCCCGCGAGGGCGGAGGCGAGCGCCGGGGCTGCCAGCCTGGGTCGCTGGGCAGCGGTGCTGAGGTGACGCCCTGAGCTAGGGCGGCCCCGGCGAGCAGCCCGGCAGGCGCCCTCCAGGTCGGGGTCTCTCGCGGGCCCGGGGAGCTGGCGCCCGGGCGGTGGCGTGGCCGGGTCAGAGCAGGCACCGGGGGCCCGGAGGCCGTGGCGGGGCCGGGGGGCGGCTGTGACTTCAGCCCCTGCGTGAGGGTGGCTGGTCCTGACGCGCTCGGTGCCTTCTCCCCAGGCTGCAGGATATTTAGAAATCGTCGTAAAATGCAAACCGCGTGAAACTTGCCGTCTTTGCCACGCCTGCGTGGGTGCAGCCCGCCACCCCTCCCCAGGGCCCCCGCCTTCCCAGCTGGGTCTCCCCCTCCCCCTGTAAGAAACCCCCCTGCTCCTCGCCTGTGGGTGGGGCCTCCTGCAGGCACAGGGCCTGTGCTCTGGCGAGGGCGAGTTCAGCACAGGGGCCTCGGGGTCACCCCGTGCAGGGTGGGGAGCCCTCCTCTGAGAGCCGAGTGCCTCCCTGGGGGGACAGACGCGTCCCTCCCTGCGTCTACCTGGTCACTCCTCAGCCGCAGGCATTTGTGCCCTGATTGCGGGTTTGCGGGGGAGGCCGGTGCTCTGGGTGCGTGTGCGGGAGCCCTGCCCCTCCGGGGCTGCTTCGGGGTGTGGCCGCGGGCGCGGGCCGGGCCGGGGGCTGCTGGGGAGGCTGAGGCGCCTCAGTGCATCCGCGCTCGGCTCATTTGCCAGCAGCGGGTCCGGGCGGGGCCTGGGAGCGGAGCCGGCGCCGGGCGCGTGGCCGCTGTGCCGGGGCCCGGCCTGGCCGTGCTGCGGGATCCGCCTGGCTGCGGCCTAACTCCCGCGCCAGGGTCCTGCTGACGGGCTGGCCTGTGGGAGCCGCACGAGGCCCGCCGGCGGCACTGGTCTGCTCGGCTTTCGTGTATCCACGTCGTGAATTCAAGGCAGCCGGGGGGCCGGTCGCGTCGGGGAGCCCCCGAGACCTCGGCCTGTGTTCCAGGGGGCTCGTGGCCCCAGATGTCCTGGGTGGCTCCTGGCACAGGGCTCGTGGCCAGATGTGCTCCTTGGCACGAAAGGCCAGTCCAGCCTCGAGAAACCGCGCGACTCTCCTTCCCGGGCCGGCCCAGCTCCCCCGCTCCCCAGCCGGGAAAGGACCACGCGTGTCCTCGTCCGCCTCCGACTGCTGGGGAGAGCCCCGCGGGGCCTGCTGTGGAGGCACAGAGTGGGGAGGACCCGGCAGTGAGCTGGGAGCAGAGGCGCCCCGACAGCGGCCTACACGCCCTCCAGCTCCCCGGCTCCTGGGTGGTCCCCTTCACTGGGGTGGGTGGGTGACCCCCAGCGCCCAGCAGCGATTTCACAGCTGCTTGCAGAGTGAGAGGCTGGTGGTCCCTCGAGGCCACCCCAGGGAGCCGCTGCGGTGCATGCCTCCCCCACAGGCCCCTGCCCCCCAAGTGCAGTCACAGGGGTACTCAGCCCAGGTGGGGGGTTCAGGTGGGGGGTTCAGTCCAGGGAAGCAGAGCCAGAGCCCCCCACGGGATCGCATGGGGGGTCATCACAGCCACTCCCCTCGGCTTGGCCACCCTGACCCGTCTGCCTGCCACCGCTCTCGGCAGGTTTGGGGGACCAGACCCGCGCCCCGAGCGTCTGTCCCTCCACAGGTCGGCTCTGCTCATCTGCTTTGCTAGCGGGGCACTCAGCAAGCCCAGCAGTCGGCCCGCGGCTTCTGCCCTCAGGGATCGTGTTCATCTTTTACAACCTCAAAAGGACCCGGAGCAAGGCCGCCCGCTTGCCTTCTCCAGACCCCGCTCGGCTGCGGGGTGTACGTGGGCAGGGGCAGCTGCCCCGGCTGCTCCCCAGAGGCGGGGCCACGCGGTGGCCGTGGCTGGTGACAGGAGACGTGCGGACCAGCCCCTAAGACCCTCACTCTGGCCGTGACGCAGGCGGCTCCCGGAGGGGACAGCTGAGATGGGGCTGGGGCCCGGTCACCTCAGAGGACATCCCGGGGCCGGTGAGGCCCAACACCGAGGGGCCCCTGGGCACCCCAGCATCCGCCTGCCCAGGAACGCCAGCGCACCTTCCGGAAGGAGAGCAGTGGGCTGGTCACTCCCAGCCACTGCCGCGCCCCAGCGTCAGGCTGAAAACAGGGGCCCGGGGGGTCCTGCAGGGTTGCACAGGCAGCGTGGTGGTGAGGCCATGTGGCTGCGGGCACCGTGGGGCAGCTGGGGGCAGCACAAAGCCGGTCAGCCGGCCCAGGACCCATGGCCACACGCGACCAGAGTCCAGTGGAGCAGGAAGCCCGGCCCCGGGGGCACCTGCAGCGGCCACCGAGGAGGCAGGCCGGGGCTCCGCCCAGCACAGCAGCCCTTGCCGGGGACGGCCAGCAGGCGGGAAGGCCGCTGCGGCCACCGTGGCGGAGGGCAGGGAGCTGGATGGGCCCGCGTCCCCCACCCTGAGACGTTTCTTTCCTGGCATGGGCAGCGAGCTCGACTTTTCTAATGGAATTTCAAGCCACCGGGAGGGAGGGAGGAGGAGGAGGACTTCTCCCTCCGCAGATGGAAGCTGCTGGCTCCTCCCCTCCGCAGCGCCGGCTGAGCTGGCTGGCGGCCGTCCCCTGCGCCCTCGCTGCCCTTCCCTGCCCATGCCCTGTGGGCCCGCGCTTGCTGCTGCCCCCCAAAGCTCGGTCCGCTCTGCACCCCGGTGCCCGCGAGGCAGCCACCGGGAGGAGGGTGCCCGGAGCCCTCAGGCCCACGCGAGGAGAGGGCTCGGCGAGCGCAGGGAGCTGCTCGCACCACGGCCCAGGGCGGCCTCCCGTGGGGAGAGGGACGGGGGACGATGCCCCCCCCCCGGGAATCGTGGGCCACCCCCTCCATCTCAGACGCCGCCGGACTCTGGGCTGCGAGAGGAGAGGCCGCTGTGGTTTGTGCTTTGTTAGGGCGTCCGCAGGTCTCGGGCAACCACCTCCCTTCCAATTCAGTCTCCCTCTCGAGGCCCACTCCCACTCCAGACGCAGTCACGTTCTGGGGAGCTGGGGGTGCCCCTGTGTGCCCTGGGGAGGCCCCCACCGCCGCAGTCCCGGCTCCTTCCCCCATCCCACCCGCCCCAGCACACGCTGGTTCCGGTCCACTGCTCCAGGCCTGTCCTCGCGGGGGTGTCGTCAGGGATGTCATCCAAGCGGAGGCTGCAGAATGTGCCCCGGGCCTGACTCAGCCACTCGGCAAAGTCCCTCGCGCCCCGAGCTGCTGCTGTCCCCTCCGTGGCCAGTGGCCTCCGGGCGTCCACCCGCCTGCTCCGCGTCCGCCTGTCTTGGGAGCGGGGAGGGCTCTGATGTCCGTCTGACTCCCGCAACAAGCGGACGTCACCGCGGGGGTCACCAGGAGAGATGGAAGTGCGCCCAAGGGTTTGTGTTGAAATTGCAGCCCGCGTGGGCGCCGAGGTCCAGCGTGAGAGGCGCGAGGGGACGCAGGGACCCCTGGGAAGGCGGCCGGCCCGGCGGGCGGGGAGGCGCTGAGCTCAGGTGTCCGTGCCCAGGAGGCCGAGTCCCCGAGAGCCCAGGCGGTCCGTGGCTTCCGCTCCGGCGTGTGCAGTCGCCTGCGGGGAAGGCTTAGGCTCATGGTGAGGAGCTTTTTGCTCTCAACCCCTCAATCTGTGTCCAGAGTGGTTCTCGGAAGGGGGGACCACACCCTGGAGCCAGTGTTAGCTGCTCCCCGAGGCCGGGGGCCCAGGCAGAGTGCGCCTCGGTTTGGATCATTCCTGCCGAGCCCCCACCTGCAGGGCTGGGCCTGAGAGCCAGGTCGGCGCCCTGGGGCCGGGTGGGGGGCTTTGTAAGCCCCAGGCCCGTGGTCACTCTGGGCCTTCAGACCAACAGGCCAAGGAGGAGGACAGGTTCTTCAGGACTGCGCGCTGACCGCCCTGCCCAAGAAGGAAACCCCTGAAAGCTGCTGGATGGGGGGCGAGCAGACGCTGACATCGGAGCTCTTAAAGCATCGTTTCAAAATCATTTGCCACCAGAAATATTCAGCTTTCTTTAAGTCATTTCCGTCTATGAAAGGCCCTACGAGGTGGTTGGGGGAGCAGCAGAGGCACTTGTGGGCGGCCGGGGCAGCCCCGGGCAGCTCAGTTTCCTCGGGAGTCGCGCAGACAGACCCGCGTCAGCGCTGCAGCGCCAGGCCCGGTGCCCGCTGCTGGCCCTGCTGGGGCGGCGCCTCCCGGGGTGCCCGGCCAGCGGCCCTTAAGGTGTCTGTTGCCAAGGTTTCTGGGTCCACTCAGCCCTGGAGGACTGGGGGAGCCTGGGGCGTCAGAGCCCCCCGCTCCTGGGGCGCGGGCCCTGGCCTCCGCTGCTCACAGAGCCTCCGGCAGGTGTGGACACCAGACCTGCTTTTACAGAAGGTGCAGTCGGGGCCCAGAGAAGCTGAGACACGTGCTGAGAGGCAGCGTCCTGGGGTCTCACCAGGAGACCTGCTCCCGGCACCCCAGGCACCCGCTGGGGCGGCCCCGTTGGCTGCTGAGCCCCAGGAGAGGCAGGACCCACAGCCAGCCCCCGGCCTCCTGAGCTGCTGCTGTGCGGCTCCTCCCAGGAGCCCCAGAAAGCCGTGGGGCTGGCGCTGCCTGGCTAGAGGCCACTGGGGAGAACGTCCTCCAGACCACCCCAGGGGAGGTGGGGCCGGGGCCCTGGTGCCCAGAGTTCACAGCGGCCCCCTCCCTTGGTGGGCACACCCCACGGGGACACTGCCCTTGATCTGAGGAGCCTGGTGAGGGCAAAATGCAGCTGCTCAGGCCCCGCCGCTTGGGACAGAATCCCCCAGCCAGCTGGAGGCAGCGTCCGAGTGCCAGGGCCTGCAGGAGGAGCACCTGGTCCCTCTGCAGCCGCCGCTGCCTCTTCTGCAAGACCCGCCCTCCTCAGGAGTGTTCAGAGGCACGAACGCCTCCCCACGCGCCTTCTGCTGGGGCCCGGAGCCCTCCGGAGACGCCAGACGCACTGCACAGAGGCGCGATGGGAGGCCAGCGGCGTCGGCGTCTGGCGCTGGCCAGCTCGGCCCAGAGGGTCGGGGCTGCGGGAAGCAGAGGGCGGCCAGCCTCCGGCCTGGCACCTCCACCCCCAGAGGAAGCCTCCGTGCCAGGCTGGCTGCACCCGGTGCTGGTCGCAGAAAGGACGGGCTCGGGGAGAGGTGTCGGCCTGCTCTGCGCGCTGTTTCCAGTGTTGGAAGGGAAAAATCTCGCTGACAGACGGTGCTGTGGGCACTGGACACACGGCTTCCCTGGCCGGCCTCGCCCACCCACAGCTCAAGCCCTGAGCAGAGGCCCGGGAGCCGGCAGGGGCGGGAGGCATCTGTCGAGACACAGGGGGAGCCTTGGCGTGGCTGTCGCCCGGCCGTCCAGCCTGGGCGCCCCCTCAGGGCGGGCAGGGGTCAGGGCGGAAGACCCCAGGCAGAGGCGGGCCTCCTGTCCGGAGGGTGCCCACTGGCTTTTATAGGGGCCCCCGCCGCACTGTCCCTGTGACCCCGCTGTGAGTCAGCACACAGCCCGGCCCCCAAACCTCAACCCGCTCGGTCAGGACCGGGCGGTCTGCCAGGCTGTCCCTGCGCCGTGGCTGGAGACTTCCTGGCCAGGCTGCGGGGTGCAAGGACCCCTCACGCCCCTGCCGCCAAGGGCTGTCCTCGGCCGCCCACGTGGGGTCCCTTTGCTTCTCGCGCCCCTTCCAGCGGAAGGCCTCTTTTTGCCTGAGGCACGAGATGAAGGGGTGCCCGCTCACGCGCCGGAGTCCGCGGTCAGGGCATTTTTAAAAATAACCCGCAGCGGGTCGGGACCGGTGGAAGCGCTGGCTCCACGTCGCCGTGGAAACGTCGCCCGCTCAGGCCTCTGGCTTCTGCCCCGCAGGTGGTCTTCAGCAAGTACTGCAACTCCAGCGACATCATGGACCTGTTCTGCATCGCCACCGGCCTGCCGCGGTGAGTGCCACCGCTCCGGGCGCCCCGGACCCACCCCCGGGACGCCCCCCACCCCGCTCCCAGGATGCCCCCGGCCCCCGCTCCCAGGACGCCCCCCACCCCGCTCCCAAGACGCCCCCAGCCCCCGCTCCCAAGACACCCCCGGCCCCCGCTCCCAGGACGCCCCCGGCCCCCGCTCCCAGGACGCCCCCCACCCCGCTCCCAGGACGCCCCCAGCTCCCGCTCCCAAGACGCCCCCCACCCCACTCCAAGGACGCCCCCGGCCCCTGCTCCCAGCACCCCCGGACCCGCTCCTAGGATGCTCCCAGGCCCCCCTCCCAGGACACCCTCAGGCCCCGCTCCCAGTGTGCCCCTGGACCCCCCACTCCCAGCGCATCCCGGACCGGCTCCCAGGACACCCCCAGACCCCAATCCCAGTGTGCCCCAGACCCGCCCCCAGGACGCCCCTGCTCCCAGGAGGCCCCCACCCCGCTCCCAGGAGGCCCCCGGCCCCTACTCCCAGCACCCTGGCCCCACTCCCAGGACCCTGCCGGGCTGCACGCCGGCCTGTTGAATCTTTCAGAGGAAGGTGGCGCGTGGGGTGGGGCCTTCGGCCTGAGAGGGGAGGTATGAGGGCCCTCGGACTCCACCCGGCGTCCCCTGGGCGCGAGGCCGTTGGGCAGCGCTTGGCAGAGCCTGCCCCTCAGTCCTTCCCCTGCATCTGTGCAGTTGCTTTTGGAGCAGGGCCCGGAGGCGTCCACTCTGGTCCCCGGCCCACGCCTCCGCACGGGCCCTCCCGTCGGGGGCCCAGACACCTGCATCACAGGCTGACGGGACCAAGGCAGACGCCCCGGAGCCCCCGGCATCTGCCCAGGTGCTCGGGCTCTTGCAGCAAGTGGGTGACCCTGGCCCGAGCCGCCAGGAGGGGCCCTGGCGGCCGCGCACCCGCGTGAGGAGCAGAGAGACCTTGGGAGGCTCCCCGGAGGGGTGAAGAGGGACCAGGAGCCGGAACTGCCTGAAATGCCGGCGGGAGAGCCCGCAGCAGCCCCCTCCAGCATCCCAGAAACACCCGCTGGGCAGGCGCGGGCTCCTCCCTGTGCCCCTGGAGTCACCCCCTGGAGCTTAAGTGACAGAGTCAAGGTCACACGTTGGTCAAGGTCACACCACTGAAAAGAGGCCCCAGAGGTGAGAGGCGGAGAAGACTGAGCTTCCGCTTAGAGCTTTTGCTTGGAGAGCTCCGCGCCCCGGCTCCGGCTCCCGGCTCCCGGCTCCCGGCTCCCGGCGGGGCTGGCCCGCGCCGCAGCCCACCAGGGCAGCTGCTCTGCTCCCCTTTGCGGTCAGGCGGACCCCATCTCCCTCCGCCCGTTCCCGCGAGTCTACATTTGCTTGACTGGCAAATGGTCTGGGCCCCTCGAGCCCCCCGTTGCGGCCCCTGGTCCAGGCCCTGGGGCTCAAAGCCCAGCACCCGGCCCCCGCCCCGGAGCCTCACGGCACCGCCTGCCCCGTCTTTCAGGAACACGACCATCTCCCTGCTGACCACCGACGACGCCATGGTCTCCATCGACCCCAGCATGCCCACGAATTCAGAACGGTGAGTGGAGCCCCGTTCACACCCAGGGGTGTCGCCCGGCCTCACCCTGGAGCCGCCAGGCCAGCTTCAGGGAAACCTCAAACCGCGTGTTTACTAGGGGGAGGGAGGGGTCCCGGGGGTGTGCTGGGGCTCCCTGTCCGGGTGCAGGGCCTCCGTCCCCAGGAGACACGGACAGGGGAGCGAGGAGCCGGGCCAGGGGACACGACATGGGGCAGACTGAGTCCACTTCCACCCTGGTGCGCGGGCGAGCCTGCAGCCAGGAGCGCACACCTCTCGGGGATGGTGCCGGGGGCCAGGCGGGGACCCCTCTGGGCTGGCCTGGCCGCCGGCCTGGTTCCCCACCTGCAGCGAAGCGGCATTGCTGACCGGGTCGGCTTTCCCCAGACGTGAGCGGGAGCGGGGAGACCACTTAGGTGACGCGGGGAGTGTGTCCGGAGCTCCTCGGAGGGAGGACGCTGCCCTCTGTGGAAGCCCCTGACCGGCCGCCCTCCCGCTGCACCGTCCCCGCGCGCCGGCTGACGCCGCCTTCTCTCTTGCAGCACGCCCTACAAAGTGAGGCCCGTGGCCACCAAGCGGCCGTCCGGTAAGACCCCTCGCCGCCTGCCCCCCCCCCCCGCCCCACCGCACGGACGGTGACGGACCCGCCTCGCGGCCCAGACCCGGCAGACATGGGTGGCCCTGCGCTCCTGTGCTCTGGGCCCCTGCCCTGGCGGGCACCCCGGCCTCCAGTGCCGCGTTCTCAGTGCGTTTGGTTAAGATCCGTCGGGCCTCCCGCTGCCCTCGTGACGTGCGCGTGCGGTGCTCGCTTCGCGGCGTGGTGCGTGTGGGGAGCCTTGCACACCTGGTCACCTCCACCGCCATCCCTGGGCTCCGCACACCTGAGCCCTCTGCGCCCGCCCCGCCGGGCTCCCCACCCCCACAGCTCCTAGGCCTCGGCTCCCCGAGAGGGGTCCCCAGAGCGTGAGCGCCTTTCTGGCTCAACTGTGAGCTCGCGCCCCCCACCGCCCGTCTGGCTGTGGGTGCTGGTCCTCCACCACAGGGGGGTTCTCCCAGCGGGGTCCCCTGAACCACTCCTGCATTTTGCAGGGCTGCAGGGCCTCGGGGCAGACAGGTCCTGCTCACCTGGGAGCACTGCCCCCAGGTTTGCCAAGGCGGCATCTGCCCCCCACCTTGTGGGGCCCCCCCCTCCGCCCACCGCCCCGCGGCCAGGGCCCCCGCTCCTGGGTAACTTGCGTGCCCTGCACAGGAGACTCTGCGTCCCGCAGCCACTGCCACTCAGACCCGGCCCCGAGGCGCCCCTCCTACCCGAGGTGGCGGAGATGGTGGAGGCAGGGCGCCCCTTCTCTGGCTGGAGCTGCGGTGCCCTGGGGCACGGGGTGCACCCCCCTATCATGTGCGTTGCCTGCATTTCTGCAGCTGCCTTTTCACTCCCTGCTCAGTGCCTTTCGGCAGCCAGAGCTTTAAGTGTTTTCTAGGCCTTTGGGCCAATTTTGTCATTTCACGGTTGTGCTTCCGCATCCTGCGAGCCGGGAGGCTCCGCCCGGAGGCCAGTGCGTGGGCTTCGGGGCCCATTTCGAGCTTTTTGTGTCTGGCTCCAGGGAACAGTTGAGGCTAATCTTCCTTCTTAAATCTCATGTAAATTTAATACTAATTTCTGTAAGGTTGACGGCCACGGGGTAGAATCCTGAGGTCTCCACGGCCGCCTGACGGTGCGTCAGCTTCTCCTCCCGGTGGCAGGGTCACACGGAGCACAGGCTGTTTATTTTTCAACAGTGTTTGGCTATTCCTGAGTTCTTTCATTTTCAAATCAGTATTGGAATCCGTCTGTCAGTTGTTACCAAAAAGCAAGCCTGCCGGGGCTCGGGCTGAAATTCCGCGTGAATACGCAGACGCCCGGGGGGAGTCCCTGCCGTGGCACGGAAGGTGGGCGCCGCGCCCGCGTGGACAGGTCATCCGTCCCCGTGCCCGCTCCCTGCTGCCGCCCGTGGGTTTCCTGACCATGTCCAGGCGTTTGGCTCCCGGACACGCAGCTCACCCGGCCCCGCGCAGGCCGGGAACCTCCCGCAGGTCTGCTGGACCGCCTCCGTCTGCGAGGGGAGCTGCTGCTTCCTTTTCAGTCCGAACGCTTTGCCTTTCTTCTGCGGAGTCCGGCCCAGCCCCGGAGGGGAAGAGCAAGGTGAGAGCCTCCTCCGTCCCCCCGCAGCCTCGCCGCCCGTCAGTTCGCGGGGCTTCGTTTCCCTCGCCCTTGTTTGTTGACAGCTTCGCTGTAAACTGGCGCTGAGTCCCCGCCAGGTGCTCCTGGCTCTCCCCCGTGCGCGTCTGCTCCTCTGCCGTCTCACGGCAAAGCGGGACTTAAAAGCGTTCCCCTGACCCTGTGCTCCTGCCCCGCGCGCCCTCTGTCTCGGCCCGTCCGCGGGCACGGGCGTCTCTGCCCGGAGCTGCCCAGTTTGCCGGCCGCCCTGGCATCGGGGCGAGGCTGGCCGCGGCCCGGGCTGGGCGAGCTCCTGGAAGCGTTGGCGCTCAGAGGGGACGTTGTTCTGACCTCACCTGTGTGGCGGCTTTGTGGGAAGGGCGCGCGCCGTGGATCCACGGCGCTCCGCCGAGACACGAGACCTTCTCCTCGGGGAGTCGCTGGAGAAAGCGTGTCTTCCACGGGACGAACCGGCTGCTCCCCTCTTCCGTCGGCTTCTAGCGAAACCCCCTTTCGTTTCAGATTCCGGTGATTTTTGTCTCCTGGAGTTGCTCCGTCCAGCCAGGGGCTTGATCTTATGATTCCTTCCTCAGGGTCAGGCCTGGGCTTCACTGCTTTGCTCCATTTTTCTGTTTCCGATTTTACCGGTTTCTCCTCTTGGCTTTGTCCCGCTTCCCTTGCTCCCACCCCAGGCCTCGTCGGCTCCCACCCCAGGCCTCGTCAGCTCCTCCCGGTCTAACTAGTGACGGGCCAACGAGGGGGCTGAGGCCGCTGGTTCTAGAGCGCTCGCGCGTGTGCCCGAGCAGGGGTGTGCGCACAGACGTGCGTGTGGTAAGGCAGTGTACATGGAGCAGGCGTGTCACCTGCGTAATGATGATCATTTAAAACTGGAGCTTTCCCCCAAAGCCTGTCCGTAGCTGAGTCTCATCAATTTTGAAATTTCCTGTCCCTCGTCTCCGATTATCTTCTGACTCACCCTGTGGCTCCTTCCCTGATCCATTTGTTCGTGGAAGCGTCTCACTTAACTCCTGGATCTTTGGTTATTTTCCTGTTCTCTTCCTGTTATTTATTTCTAAGTTGATTCCCTCATGATGGAAAAGCAGACGGTGTGGCTCTGCCTTTCGGGCCGGGGTCCCTGCTGTGCTGGGTGGAAAAGCGGCGTGTTCCGCTCCCCGGGTGGGGTGTGGTGCAGCTGCCCCTGAGTCCAGGGGACAGATGGCTCAGGTTCCCCACCTTGTATCCGTCCGCCTCGGGCGTGCTCTGGGGACCAGCCAGCTTATTTCCTGACAGAGCGGGGAGAGGAGTGGACATGAGGGACAGCAGGGCCGGCCCTGAGGGCGCCCCTGGGAGTGGGGGAGGAGGTGGAGGGCGGAGGGCAGCCGGGCAGCAGGGACGGGGCTCCGTCTCCATGGCCTGTGGATATGGGGCGGGCGCCCTGGCTGGTGGCCTGATGCCGTCGGGGGGAGGGAGAGACCAAGGACGGAGCCTGGGAGCTGGCCCTGGGCAGGGCTCTGCGACGGACGCGGGAGCGCAAGGTGAAGGGAGCCCGGGGAGGGGAGGCCAGGCTGCCGCTGGGGGATTTTGTGCAACTTTGAGACCCAACGAGGACCCATGAGATTTGAGCTCCTTAAGGAAAAGAACCTAGAAGCTGGGGCCAGTTGTGATGGGGCCTGAGCGCTGCCTCCCCCGGAGTTGGGGGCCAGGGCCCGGCAGGCTCCCCAAAGCCGCAGCCCCAGGCGTCAGAGGCACCGAGAGGGCAGAGGCCGCAGGACGGGGTCAGCATTGTGTGTTTGGGGCACGGCCCCGCGGAGCATTTCTTCCAGATGCTCCAGGGCGACCACGAGGAGAGATGGTTCCTCGCAAGGCACTGGTGGCGCCTCCCCTCCCAGCCAGTCCCCGCCCCCTGCAGCTCCTGAGGGGGGCGGGCACCCGGGGCGACCCCGAGAGGGAGCAGTGGCCGGTGCTGGGCTTTCTTGCCGGGGGTGGGGCTGCTCCGCTGTCCACCCAGGCGCTGGGGTCCCCGTGGCGACCAGCTGCCGCTCCCTTCCTCGCCTCGGCCCCCCACCACCCCCGGGGCTCCCCGGGACCCCGGCAAGCCTGACCCTGGCACCGACTCCCTGCCTGGGGGGATCTCAGCCGCCGTGGGCGCCGCGAGGGGCGCTCGGAATCCAGGGCCGTCCACGGCCCGCCGTCGCTTGTCAGCGGCGAGGAGGCTCAGCCGGAGCCGGCCGCGCAGGGCAGAGGTCACCGCGCCTGCGGTTCTGGGGCCGATGGAGCGATTTATGCAAAACTCTCGGGGCGCGCGGTCACCGCTAAGTGCTCATAAGTGGTAGTGCTCGCCCAGCACGACCCGCAGGCCACGCTGAGCGGCCAAGGACGGCCACGGTCGCGTCTCTCCAGGCGGCTGAACTCTGGTGGGCAGGAGGCCCGAGGTCCGGAGGCTGCTGTTAGCGCAGCTCGTGTCGCCACCAAGGCCCTGCTCGCCCGGAGCCCGCCGCGGTGCGACATGACAGCCCCGCGCGGCCGCGCTCTCCGGGCCAGCGCAGCCTCCGCCGGGCTCCCCGCTGCTGGAGACAAGCAGGGGCCGAGTCAAGTCCGGGGAGCCGCCCCGAGCCCGCCCGCTGCCGCGGCTCTCCCCGCGCCCCGGCTGCTCGTGGTCTTGGTCATAAACGGGGGTTGATTTGGTCCGACGTCCTTCCTGCCTCTGGGGCGAGCAGGTGATTTTCCTCTTCTGCTGAAGGGCTGGCGGGTGCTGCCCGCCTTGCAGTTCAGCAGCCTCGCTTCCCGGGGTGCCCGCTGGCCTTCCTGGCAGCCTTTGTGGCAAAACGCTTAGGACTCAGCCTACCGAGGCCCCCGGGGCCCCAGCTGCAGGGCCCTCCCTCTGCACCCGGCTCTCCTCCTGGCCTGACACACGTGAGGCTCCGGCCCATGTGTCCCGGGACGGTGGTTTCTGATTTTCTTCCTGGTAACGTCTGCGTCGCGCTTTGATGGTGGCGTGACGGCTCCTCCATTTTCTGAAATACTTTACCTAAGTCCGGGGTCAGCCCTCCCGGCTGTGTCCCCTCCCGGGCGGCTGGCCGGCCTGCCCCGGGGCTGTCTGGCGCTGGCCTGGGGCTCTTCCCTGCTCCCCGGGGATTAATCGGACGCCCGTGGGTTCCTCTTTAGCATCGGGCTCTTGAGCGCCACTCTCGGGGTGACAGTGTGCACCCCTCACTTTCTTTAATGGCGAAGCTTTACTTTTTTAGAACAGTGTTAGATTCACAGCAAGAACAAGGGGGAAGCATGGGGCGTCCTGCAAATCCCCTCCTTACCCTGGCCCAGCCCCACCCACATCCTGCCTTAGGGAGGCTCGCTGCCAGCCCCTGCCCTGCTGCTCGGGCAGCCCCTCCCAC